TTTCAAAAGTTTTATTAAAATTTTACCGTATGATATGTACTTAGCGAGTTAGCCCCCTAATATTTTTCTTTTCTTTAAAAATTTTTTTCAGAATTTTTTCGAGAATTTAGCTCACATACGAAAATGGAAAGGACAATTATTAGAATATTGTAGGAAAGTTTCATCAAAATCGTTAAAGCCGTTTTCGCGCTACATTATATAGAAGAACATGTTTTTCATTTATTGCACGTGGAGCACCGAATTTCTGTCACAGGAATTAGTAGTCAAAACTCTAAAAAATAAAAAAAAGAAGCAACAAAATCGGTTCAGTAGTTCTAGAGAAAATCTTGGCACAGATAGACAGAAAGATAGACCAATGGCTAAAAATATGTTTTTCGTACTCAGAGGGCTCTGAAACGTATATAATCCGTCGAAAACCGTATATCGGAAATTTGATCCGATCGCAATACTTTCCTTACCTAATATAGGTAGGAAAGTAAAATGGAAAATGAAGAGGCGAAAAAGGGACTGAACTATTTTGTCTTTGCCTATTTATATAATGATTACAACATTAAACTCTTTGCAGGAAAAAATACGGTGGGATGCCTTGGTCTCTAGATTTTATAAAAATTAGAAATGGCTCTACCTTTCCATCAGTCATAGGTATGTTCGTTTCCTAACTTCTTTCGTCTTCTGAGCTACCCAGCATTTTTACCTTGCGCACTTGTATATTCTTCAGTTCAAATCCCTCCTCCGTTAACTTAAGTTATACATACGGTTGGCCGATTTCACAGATGGGAAGATTCTTGAATTAACCAATGGTTTTATTTTCTAATATGAATATTAACATTTGTCTGAATTATAAACAATTCATAACTATTTATTACAATCAATTTTACAGATAAATAAACGTTTAAATATTTGGAGGTGGCGGAGAGAGGAGGCGGGGTCGGTGGACAGCCGGCTGACCGCCTTGCTCGCTCCACTGCAGCCACTTCAGATCTACGTCATCCAGGCGACGCCCTATCACCTTAAATCCTACCCTCAATTGATAACCAATACTGCCTTAATGTTGAGTCAACTGCATCATAGCTTGTGTCAATACTTCAACTTTAAATAGAATATTTTAAAGCTCCTCAACTTAATAAACGTTTGTTGAGCTAGATATGTCCATTTAAATGAGTCAACAACGGATTATAATATTTATTTTTATATACGATATTTTATTAGGAACCTTTAACTAATTGTGCCATTTTGGCTTCTTACTCAATATTCAAGACACCGAAGTGTTACATAAAGAACAAGAAAAGTACATAACATCTAGTGTATTAAACTAAGATTAAATGATTTATAGAATTTTTAAATTATAAAGTCTTACTAAGGGCTAGAGAAAAATTGTGAACTGTCCCATTCACAAAAAGGTAGATAGATGCACTAACTATAGAGTAATATAATAATATCTCCGTACTTCTGTGCATTTCAAACATCTTATTTTGTCGGCTCAATTGTTGAATGGGAGAACGGTTATTACAAATTCACATTACACATCTATACAACGAGATCCACTCCCGGTAGGAAAGATCTACTACAGGCCAAATCTTTAATCTCTGACCTATAATGGAAAGAGGAAGGGAGTACCATAGGGTGTGGAACAGATCGGATATACAGAGGGGAGGGAGAGGGAGGTGGCTTTCAAATATTTAGCATATTCAGACGATAAATATTTTGTGGAAAGATCCAAGCAAGTGGTAGTTGAGACATTCGTTGCTCTGTAAGCTGATGTGAAATGGATGGAACTGATTTTAAACGAAGTTAAAAACAAGTACTTGGTTTTGGATCAGGCTCCGAGATTGAGTGGTATCAATTTTTCATTTGGCAGGTACAATCATCGGTGAATAGGATCCAGAGAATGTCTACCTGGGATCAGTGGTAACCTGTAACAACGATGTAGCAGTGGAGATTAGGAGGATAATATTGGCTCTCAATCGCAGATATTTTGGACTTCATCAAGCTTGGAAGACTGAGATGAGCAGGACATCTTGCCTCTTTTAATTGCCGCAAGCCCGAAGCTCGTGTGGAAAGAGTGTGTAACTCATGTAGAAAGAACATATTTGAGATATTGGAACTGAATGCAGCGGCACAGAACAGAGTCATGTGGCATTTGCTGTTGGAGAAAGTCCGAATAATCTTTAATGGGTTGTAGGGCTATCAAAGAAGAAGAATCGTCTCATTAAATAGAAAATATTGAATTCATTAACAGTATAAAACTATAAAAATATAGACATTTAGAATTCAAAAGCGCTATGTAAATAAATAACAAGATCTGTAACATTATAACACGCAAACATATCTTTTTATCGACTAATCCAATTTTTCGGACCTCTGACGGGACGTCCACTGAGGTGGCAAACACGTCCAAAAATTCTCAGACATGACAAGACTGAGGACTACTGACTGACTGGACCGACATAAGACTACCTGTGAACTAGACTGTCGATTCATCACAAATCATCGATTTCAACTTCTCACAATTCTGTTATAATTCTACCATCTATGCCATACCATCTGTTATTCTACCATGAACAACATTACTAGGGATTCTATCTCATAAAATCAAGTTGTGAAAATTTCAATGACTCATCGTTGGGCTAAGAAAATAATAATATAAAAAATAAGTTATTTATTAGTCACTGCAGTGATCAGAAAAGGAATTGAACCAGTAAAGATTGTTTGTAAGCTTATAGAAAAACATAGATTATCTCTTTTTTCTCCTTAATATTGTGTTTTTATTTCTATTTAGACGTTTATTTGGATCATCATGCATCCTTTTCATCATCATAAATCGTATATGTAATGCATTAAAAGATATCCCAAAATTTTACATTTTATTAGGTTCTATATTGATCCCGTCATTCAGATAAAACTATATAATAGCTTGAAAATAAAATAATGTATTCTCAAAACATTTTAGTATAATAAAAGATACAGAAAACGGTTACTAACAGTAAATATCAATTATAATGTTGCTATAAAACTTTTAAAAAATGTGAATGAATATTTCATTCATCATGAAACATATAAAAATATAAAAAATATGAGAGAACTGATAATGTACTACTTATTCAATTTAAGATACGAGAACAAACCATCTATCCAAAGAAACTTCCAAATTGAAAAAAAAAAAAAAAAAACGCAAGAAATTACAAGTGTTTGTTTTCTCGAATTTGACTGATAGAAAAAGTGTGAAGAAGAAATAAAACTTTAGGATGAAAGGTCAAGAATATAAAGTAATTAATAATTTCTTACAAGTAAATTGTTAAGCTTCTCGCTAGAGTACACCCTCGATTGCTACTTTTCTAACTTCATCTTCTCTAAAGTTAGCGGAGAAAATAAAACAGGGAGTCAATAATTGGTGATCGATGGGCTTAACACTTTTCAATCAGGAAAACTTTTCCCATCCAACTTTTATTTTAAAAGCTTTCATATTTTTATTTTTGAATTAGTTTAACTTTTTCAACTGATAAATTTAAATATAGGATAATAGCATGCGAAGAATGATAAAAATATTCTAAAATAATTTTACATCATAAAATATTTTGTGAATTAATGATTAATTAAAATAAATCAAAACCTGAATTTGAAAATATTTTTTTATACACCTTCAATTCTTACCATATTTTTATCAAATATAATCAAAATACTCGTTTATATTTTGGTAATCTTATATATTAATATTCTAACCATATTTTTAACAAATTTAATCAGAATACTTGGTTATTGGTTTATTGTTTTCAATAATTAACCAGTGTGATTGACCGAAAAATTCAATAATTTAATTCCCCTCCCCCTCAAAATTTGAGGTTTCACGTTTTAGGATACGTAGAATTCGAAAACCGAATAACAATTTTTTCGTCCGTCCGCCATTCGCGCATTTTCTCCGAAACTACTCCACCGATTTTTTTTCAACTTTGGATAGAAAATCAGTGGTCATCCGAGGATGATCCTCCTTCATCGACATTAGTATCCGCCTTTTACTTTCAAAATGGCGGCCGAAAAACCTGCATTGATATAGACTGTAGCGCCTAAACGAATGAACTGATTTCAATGAAACTTACTACTTACTCTAATTACTAAAAATCACTTTTCCCGACGCCCTTTAAATTTATTTATAAAACATACGTCAACGATAAGAAGCTGGAAAAAAGTTATGAGGGATGGTAAAATTAAATTCCGAATTTCTCGAAAAGTATAAGCTTTTTTGTCGATATTGTATATGTTTTTTTTTAAAGTTTATCGAATTTTCTAAAAAAAAAAAAAAAAAATCGTTAAAATCGGACAATTAAGAGCATAGATATGAAGATGGTCTCTAGTTTTTTTTTATATGTTCTACTGCAAAAAATATATCTTATTATTGGTTTTTGAATTTGGAATGTGTTACTGAAGTAATGCTAATGTTTTTAACATATTAGTTATGATTAAAAATAAAGTTTAGTCCAATAATTGGAATCACTTTTTATTTATTTTTCTTTGTAACTAAGAAGGTAATTTTCCTTTAGATTTACCATTAGATGGAAATATTAACCATTGTGAAATAATTTGCAGTTTTTTTTTTTATTATGTTAAGTTTCGTAGATTATATCTGTCTGACAAAGTATTTAAGTAGATGTGAAAATAATTTCTGATAATTGATAGGATTTATATTCACTGATATTACTAAAAGTAACCGGCGGGGATATTAAAGAAAAATACTCGATATATTTTTAACTACGATATATAGCATTTCTAAGCCAATTGTAACTTTCCTCAATCCAAATGTAACCCTTTCCAAATCATATATAACCTTCTCAATTTCAGATTTAACTATTTCCAATTCAAATGTAACCTTAAAGGGTTACATTTAATTTGGAAAAGGTTACATTTAAAATGGAAAAAGGAACATTTGAAAGGGAAGATGTTTACATTTGGCTTGAAAATGCCATAATAATATTAAAATATTAATATTAGCTGTGTGACAGACTGACCGTTTGGAAGTTCTGTTCATGGATTTGAGAACCGACTTGGTACTTAAAGAGTTCCTTCAGCTCCTTCTGGTCGAGATGCCTGTTCTGGTCCCTGTCGAAGTAGCGGAAAACATCCTTCATCCCATCCAGTTCCTTTTTGTCGAAGCCGGACCTGCTCTCCAAGTCGTGGGTAGGAGGCCTCTCGTTTAACTGAATTCATAAAATAACATTTCAGGACAATAAGAACAATGTAATAAACAATCTACATACAATTCTATTTATAATATAGTAATAAACAATATAACGTAGATACTCCTATGTCTCTCTCCACTACACTGATTTAAAGTGGCTCTTCCACTCCATTCGAAGACAATATTTCCTAGGCACGTTCCATTATCAAATCATCAACAATCATCGTCCTTCTTACGCCTACAACCTTCTCCAATTCAAGTACTCAGTCTACTCCCTTTCCACAAGATCTCGACCCTCCGATCTTTATATTCCTTCTCACAGATCTACTTCGTTCCAAAACTCCTTTAGTGTTCGCTCTGTTAATTTCTGGAATTCCCTCTCTATCAAAATTCGGCATTCTCCCACGCTATCTACATTTAAAACCCTCCTATTCTAATTTCTGTCCCCTAAACAGTCAGATCCCCCCCCCCGCCAACCTTTTATGTAAAATTACATATTATTCAAAATGATTCATATAATGATATATTTACATATAACTCATCACTTAAATACTTACTATCAGATTCGTCTTGTTTTTTCTTTTTTTTCCTACAGAAACAAAGAGTTTATTGCTAAGAAGAATGTAATGTATTTTTTATTTTTTTGTAAAAGCGTATATTTATGTTTTACCACTGTACATAGTTTTAAATGTCTTGGCATGGTTTCAAGTGTTTTGTATATAGATTATTTTTATTTTGCACATAGCACGTTTAACTAATATTTTCTTTACTTATTTCTCTTTACTTTTTCTTTTATTGTTATTGTTATATTTAGGCCAGATATAACATTTTAATTTTGTACTTTTTTGTTATTCTAATGGGACTTTGTCCTAGAGTAAAATTATTTTCTATTCTATTTTATAATGGAACAAAATTTGTAATCAAATAGTAAGGTCGGTTAGATAAAAAATAAAGTCATGTACTTAAATCACTTTGGACTTGATGTATCTGTTATCAACGGTTTTGTGCATATCTTCAACGAAGAGGTAATATAACATAATTTAATAGCCGACATTTGACCTATCTTAATTTACGGTACTTAAATGGTGGTTTTCAATTTTGGTTTTATCACAAATCCTCCTGATAAATTATATAAATCGACTGTGTAGAGGCATGACCCGCCGAGATCATTACGGTTATAAGCTTACAAAGTGTTAAAACTGGGTGAAACTTTATCTATGTGTGATTTAGCTAGTCCATGATATGCTGATCCATCCAATTACTATAGCTGTGACAAGCGTTAAAAGTTCGAAACTATTGAATGATTACTCACTATTAAATATTGGACTTTCTGATTTAATGGTTAGATAAGAAAAATGAACATGAGGTCCGCTATTTTTCACAAGATCACATGTACAAATTTTATCCTGTTGGAACTTTTTTACTACTCGTTAATTTCGACGAAAAGCGGACAAAATAGCATCTTTTTTTTATCCACTTCGATGTCGTACTTAAATGAAATACCTTTATACCTTCTGAGAATTCAATATAACAAAAAATAAGGCATACGAATGGTATAAAAATAAGTTGTATTAAGACGAAAATACTGCAAATAAAGTATTTATTTTTCTTGGATGCTCAGTTAAATGGAGATACTGATACTGTAAAACATCATATTTTGATTTCATACATAGTTCCGTATTTTTACTTTTAGTGGATAGTTCTGCTCTATCCCTTCAAAACATCATGTGAATCTTTCATTGTCTGAAAAAGTACTGGAAATCTTCTTCTATTGGCTCCTTCAGGATGCATGCAGATTTCTCTTTCACACCTTCAGACGACTTAAAGCTTCTTTCTTTCAATGCAGATTGGCGAATCGTAAATTTTTTATTTAAGCTACTGAAACGAAGTACCAATACATGTGATGGATAACCCATTCATCATTTATGGAAACCTTAACTTAACCAATAGTCAAACTATTAATCAACATTAGTATATTAACACTCTTGCTGAAAGAGAAATATAAACGTGGTCTAAATTGTGTGACAGAATATGACTTTCAAGATTGTGTCAGACAATAAAAGATTCGTAGAGAACGTTTTAGATGAGGGAGATAAAATAAATATGTATGAAATCAAAATAGTTGATGGCATCCAGATCGTTATTTAATAGCCCCTTAGTCGTATTTACATACTATGTTATACACTTTATATGGCATATACTATATTTAAGTGCAAGCAGAGATATAGCCTATATACCTTGAATATTTCCTGTATCCTAGATGCGGCATCTTTAGGGAAATTTCTTCGCCACATATCCGATGAAATTCTTTATCTGCTTCAATACGATATCATCGAATATGAGGAAACGGGATAAGGATGTTTTCCTAGATTTTCCCCTTAATTTACACGCGAACAATTTTAGCTAGAAATGTTAAAATATAAACCACATGTTCAATTACTGATATTAAATTTTAAGTTGCTATCGTTACGTAAATAGTCATTTTATTACAGTCACATCAATCTATTGTAAAAACTTTTACATTTCAAGGAATATAGTAAACAAGATGTAATGTTCTTACCATCTACATGCCAAGATACTCCAGCTAGAATTATTTTACTTCAACGAATAAATCATCGGTGTATTGCAAAAAATCATTGAACGTTTCAATGAATTTAAGATAAACGAATTTTAAGTTTCTGATTCATTAAAAAATACTGAAATAGCAATTTGATAATTTATTTTTTGTTATTTGCATATGTTTCATATTTCCCAAAATTAATTAAATTATTAACATATATATAACAATGAAAAAACTGAAACCACGAAGCACTTATTTACTTTTTAACACAAGGAAATAGAATGTGAGTTAGATTTACCTCACTTAGATAGTTTTGTTAACAATCGGATCAATTAATCCAGTGAAAGAAGTCATTAAGTACCAGATAGTCAATTTTAGCGCCCTACATTAACATTATTTAGAGAACAAGAATTTCATTAAGATCTTGATGACCTTTTACTCTGTAATGTCAGATTATCGTTCATTTCAATTAATGAAATTATTTTTTACATATAAAAGGTTTGTATTATTGTGCATTTTTTAAAATTTTATTTATTCATGATATTTACAACAGTATTAAATTAAAAATACATCTAATAAATATGTATGCAGGAATGATAAAATTACATGAAAATGCTTGTCGAGAAACTAGCCATTGGTAGCACTCTAATAATATATTTAAATAAGTAGATGGCCTCGTATCTTCTTTTCAGACGCCTTGGAGGGTTATCAGGTATTGAAGGGTTGAAACGAGAGGGTTCGGATGGTTTTGAAGTTTGTTATGGAATGATAGGTATCTGGATTGGGCTTAATCGGAAACTTATGTTACATTACGGTCGTTATGGATGATTTTATTTGTGACAAAGTAAGGAGCATTGAGAATTTTACGAAGGATTTTAGATTTTAAGGATTGGATACGAGAGGAATTCGATGGTTTAGTGGAGCCCGAAAGATCCATTCCGTAAGTCAAAATTGGACTTATTATAGTCATCTATATGAGTCTTTGGTAATATATTAAAATTTTAGAGCGTTTGTCTAGTAGATGCTGGAGTAGTAAAAAACGTTGAGCAGTTTCTTTTCGTTTCAGGTTTGAATGAGGATTCCAAGTGAGTCGTTAGTCCAGATGTAGACCTAGGTATCGGATTTGTTCAACAGAGATATGTGGGGAATTGTTAAAGGATACTGTAGGACTGGAAGTCATAGGTTTACGACCTATACGAAAATACATTTGTGCTTGCGCAACCGGAAGTACTCTATGGAAGTCGATGAAATTAATGTCATTAATAATTAATCATCTATGAACCAAACTCGAAATATTCCAGAAAATCGCATAAAAAATGGATAAGCAGTAGTAGGTGATATGCCCGTCACATCGATTTGACTACTGACAGACCGACAGACAAATGACGAACCTAATTTGAATCTAGATAAATACAACGTAAAATACGATTGGATATTTTCGGTTTTGAGCACAAAATTTTCCTTAACCTCCTGAACGAATAAAAGTTTCCTACGTTAGGTAATAAGGAAGTAAGAAAAAAAAAAGGTAAGTTGATTTCTATGGAAACACGTTCAAACATTTTTTAACTATCAGGTGTCTATTTAAACGACTTTGGAACCAATTACGGACAATAAAAACAAAATAAATTTATTTTTAGATAGAAATTTATTAATTATTTTTAAATGAGTCTCTAGAATATATCGAAATAGGTTTCCATTTATTTGAAAAATTAAAAATATATAAATAAATAAAAAGTAAACTTTTCCCACGAAGACTTGCCCAAAATATATTTAAAAACATGGATCTCGAGACCACAATATTCGTCTGATTGCAAAAATACTTTCTTCTCCTAACAGCAATATGGGTAATCTGTATATGTCGAAGAATTTACATCTCTTCGAATTCGATACTTTTCCTTACTTCATTTTGGTAAGAGATTTGTATAAATTGAATTGGTTTCCTTGGAAACATGAGTAATGTAATTTCAAAATACCTTTAATGTACGCAATTTATCACCCTAAACATTTGCTCATATTCATTTCGATGATTTTTTTTTCTTTAGATGATGTAATTAATACATTAAGAATTATTTCATAACATAGTTTGCAAATAAAATATACAGCTATAAAACGTCCCCTTATTGAGCATCTAATTGCTTACCATTTAATAATGGACTATGATTTTGCGCTTCATAAAAAAACCTGTATTTTTTAAATAAAGTCTTATCAAAGAAAAGATACGGTAAAGCGAAAGAAGTGAAGGAATTCGGCAAAAAAAATCGATATAGGAGTATCTCTGTTTCAATGCTCACAATGCCAGAAAATTACATCAAATCGAGATACCGGCCATAGGTGCCAAGCCCTGTCAGCTAAAATCGACTACAGAAACGCGTACAGCTTGAAAACGTATATAACCCAACATTCTATGTTTTTACTGCCTACCACATTTCACGGAATATTCTCTCAAAAAGAGCTTTATTGGAAAATTATCAAATGTATGACAATATAATACTGAATTGAGTAAACAAAATTCCTGATGATGGGGCAGATTACAGAAATCTTGAGCATATAAGGCAATAAAATAAAATAAATAATAATTATACTAAGAAGAAAAAGAAACTTTTACAACCTAAAATCTTCCAAAAAATGAACTTAAAAATTTCCTAAATTTTCAATTCCAAATTTGCTAAATTTCGATTTTGAAAGAAGTGAAATTAGGAGTTTTATGAACATAAGTTTTTTTTTTTTTTATTGAGTATTATAACAATCTGTCTGTTGGACATTGGTTATAGTGAGGTAGGATGACATTCACACTATATGTACAAAAAAATAAAATAAATAGAACAAAATAATAATCAAAAGTATATACAATAGACAATAAAATAAAATAACCTAAAAAATAAGAAAATTAAAACTAGGAAAAAAAACACATGCATACCTATATACAATCAGGCGAGGGAACTCCAGGAGAACCCTGCGCTACTCTCCCAACCGCGTCACTGGTACTAAAGCCAGCGGAGAATGGTCGAGAGCACTTTAGCCACATACACTCATGTCTTGAGTGAAGAATCTGGCCATTGCCAGAACTCCATTTTTTAAAATCTACAAAAGGTCGCGAGGCCACTGCCGTTTCAACCTTCTTGGAGGATTATAGGGATGGGAGGTGCTTGATAGGGATTGTGCAAGAGGATTTGGGTGGTAAGTAAGGTTCTGGTGAAATTTGGAGAATTTTTCTGGGATAAGGTCTAGGACAAATGGGATGTTGAGGTCATGATGTAGGGTTTTGTTGGTTATATAGAAAGGAGCATCAACTATATGAACATAAGTATATCAAAGAAAGCACATTTCGGAAAATGGATGATACATTGCTGGATGGAAAATCATCCTACCTGCGTCTAATAATATACATGTATGCGTGCCTGATCGAAAGTATTTTCTTTTTATTTCTTAATGATATTTAGAAACTGTATTAAAGAAATACATTTAGTAAATTTGAACATATGGATATAATGACATGAAAACACTTGTTCAGAAACTACCCAATGGTAGAACTCTAATAATATGTCTAGGAGATCACGAACCATCTTCTTTCCAGACGCCTCGGAGGGTTATCAGGAATTGAAGAGGAAGCAAGATTAGAAACGAAAAGATTGGGATGATTCTGAAGTTTATTATGGAAGGATAGATACTTGGATTGGGTCAGATCTGAAACATAAGAATTTTGTCATTATGGATGGTTTTACTTGTAACTAAGTAGGGAGCAAGAGAAATTAGAAAGTGAAATTTAAGATATAGAAATGCCTGCATCTAAGATGTTTATTTTCATTACTTTTTTTTTTTAAGATAAGTTTAATTCTATTTTATTCATTTATTATCATTCTATTATTACTATTATCTATATTTTCTTCCTTCACTATGACATTTTATTTTTTTCTTTTGTAGCTTTATATTATTTGAAGTTAGCTTATTTTTTTTTTAAATTTATAAATGTAGTGTGAATGTGCTCTCAGAACTCTATTATAAATGTCCTTTATTGAGACAGATTGTAATATTTATCAATAAACAAATAATCAGTAAAAGATATAGAAGAGAAATATCATACAGTACTTTATCTAAAATTTGACCTAAATCGAGTTAATGGTTGTAGGTGTTTCGCTTGGAACATAAAAATTACTACAGCGAAACAGGAACCAAATTTCATCATAAATGTCTAAAACGAGTGGATATTTTTGAAGTTTAACCCCCCGCAGGAATACAAAGTTTCTTTTTCTAGGGAAGAATGGGTACGTTTGTGACAGTCGTGATATTAGAGAAACATAAAGAATAGCCGGTATGTTTATTTGGAAGAAAAGGATGTTTTGCCCGTATGAATGTATTTAACAGAATTGCCAACAAATCGCGCGATATTAACGCTAGTAGAGGCCATCATTACCTTTACACACACAAAAGTAACTTTCTTAATTATATTTCTAACGAATAATTGTTGTTATATCTGTACAGACAGAGTAATGAATGGTTTTGCTCGTTATAAGTTAAACATTAGTGGTTAATTAGCAATTAATTTGTACGTATATAATATTATATTGTCGAGGCGATATTGTTGGGTACGACTGTGACATATTTTCTGGGTGAGGTTTGACACGAGTAAATATTTTTTTTTTTTTTTGCTTTTAGATAACCAGAAAACGCTCAAGCAAGACCGATAGTTGATTTTACACACATTTTAATGCCTTAGTAAATTTAAACGATTAAATTATTCTATAATGTTATATTTATTTTATTATCCATGAAATTTGCCAATGCGTTGTAACGCATCAAGCAAGTGTG